AAATGCTAATCTTGTCGCATTCAGCAGCTGGGTTTTTGCAATATTCTTTTCCTTCTCCTAGGGGTTAATTAGCCTTCTTTCAAAATGTGGCCTATTTAGCTGTAGCTTCGCATGATTCAGCCTAAGTTGGCTGTACAAAGCAGGACCGTTAACAGGCGGGTGTGTCCAACTGCTTAATTAGCCAGAATAAAAAGGTCCTTTGTCAAACAAGCATCTGTTGCTCTCGACACACCTGACAGCCACATTAGGCAAGGATGACTAGACTGAAATCGTGCATGTCTCTCCTGCAAGAATATACAACTCATTTACATATGGGCCACATCGTGGACCCACGGCAGGGGTTTATTTAGCTTATCAAAATGGATTAATGGGACTGCATTTGTGGCCGATAAACAAATATCACTTGAAAGGAGGCCGTGAAGGAACTGAACTAACCAAATTACTCCCAAACATAAACAAAGCCCAGAAACCACTGCTAGATGAATGGGAACACCTCAGATGTACACACAAACCTTATGCTGGTCTCAAACGAAACCCACAAGTGAAGCCTGCAAAGACACTACCCTCAGGGATGACTCTTGCTTTGCCGAAATGTTGGAAAGCTACCAGAACACTCTGAATGCATCAGTGGTTTAAATGATCTGTTTAGCAGAATTTGGCAGGAGGGTTCTACTCCTCAAACATGCTTTAACATTCTAATTGATCTGCCATTAAGTCAGGTCTTCAGAATTAATCAGTTAAAATGCCTCTGGAAAAATACTTAGGAGTTGGGTTCTCTTATGGCCTCAGGAGAAAGAGAGAGAATGCTTTCTGATTTCGGTGTCGGAGAGAGAAGGGATTCCTGTCCATTGTTACTAGAAGGTGTAGATCAAATACAATCGATGGAGAATCCCAAAGACTTTGCCATTCAGATCCACAGTCTGTAGCTTGTCATGTGGAAGCCCCATCGTCATGATATTGCAAGGTAATATACACGAAGTAGTAACATCGTGGGCTTTGGACTCAGATAAACCTGGGTTTGAATTCAGGCTCTTCCCCTTACCGGCTATGTGGTTTTCAGCAAGTTATGTAATCCTTTTGTGTTATGTTATGTTACGTTGTGTTGTGTTATGTTTTGTTATGTGTTAGGTTGTTACATTATATTGTGTTATGCTATGTTATGTTGTTATGTAATCCATTTGTGCCTCAGTTTCCTCCTTTGTTAAGTGGAAATAAGAGTGCTGCCGTTAATGGGAGTCTTCTGAGGATTAAATTGAGGTGTGTTTCAAGAACTTAGTGTATTGCATGGCACTGGAAAAGACTTCTCAGATGAGAGACCAAATTGTGGCTGTGAGTTTTTGACCCAGTCTCTGCCAGGGATGGGACTGAGACCCTCTCAAGCCATGAGGCCTTGGCAAGGGCAGCCTCCTACTCATAACAGAGGAAGACAATGAAATCGTAGGAGGATGAAGTTGTGTCCGTCAAGGAGAGATGGAGAGACTGAGTTCTTATCCATTGGCATGAGCCTGTGAGATGGGGATGAGGGGCAGTTACTGCTGAGTAAACAGAAGATGTTCTGGGGGCAGTTACTGGTTGTCCTGGATTGGGCTTTCTGTGCCAGCTTTGAGGTGGCATAGAGCCAAGGCTGGTAGAAAGCTCTCCGTGACTTTCTCACTTGAAGTTACAAAGCCATCATTTTCCTTCCATCTCATTTTCCCCAGTTTCTCCTGCAAAGGTTGCTCCTGTAAAACAGTGGGGGGCCCTTTCCTTCTTTTTCATTCCAAAAAGGTCTCCAGTTTGCTTTTCTTTACTCTCTTCTCTCCTATCTATGCAATGTCTATTCTGAAATTCAGGGCTCCCCACTTACTTGGTCTAGTTGTTTAGTGCATGAGCTTTGTTGGTATATCTGAACCCTCCTTTCCGACCTCCAGCTGTTTGACCTTGGTTATGTATGACCTGACATCTCTGGGTGTCCGTCGACTCACCCACGAAATGAGGAGAATCATAGTGGTTGCACGTTTCCCTTAGTAAAGTGGTCAAAACTTGGGTATATCTCTTCTGTATAAAAGAAGTGAATGAGTATAAATGTTATCAAGACTGTCTTAAACCCAAAATGTAATTTTTACATTTTCAATCTGGGTGTATAAGACAAAATCTTTGGTTATCCCGAAAAGTATCATGAACTCACATGCCTTTAGAGGCCGGGCAACTGAAGGAGTATTGCCCTTTATTTCTATAAAACACATAATGTAGGCTCAACTTTTCTAAATTTTCATATTTTTTTCTAAGAATCTGGAAATTTTGTTTAACATGGAGATTTCCAATTTTTAAATATTGGCAATTAATAATTTTAATTTGTAGTAACTCTGAGCCAGAGCCTGGCTGTGGAGTCTCATATAGTCCATGAGAGACCAGTTTTCAAATCTGTGCCTTTTATCTTCTGATGAGCTCTCTCCGGTAGTTTATTGAGAATTCTTAGGAATTGCTTTGAAAGTATATTTAATTTTTCTTTAAAGATTTATTTATTTATTTTGTGGGGGGACGGGCAGAGGGGGGGCGGGGAAAGAGAGCGTCTTAAGCAGATTCGGCATTGAGCATGGGGCCCGACGTGGGGCTCGATCTCACAGCTCTGAGATCATGCCGTGAGTTGAAACCAAGGGTCTGGCACTTAACCAGTCACCTAGGGCCCCCAAGGATATTTAATTTTTAAAGAGATTTTTATATTCTTGCATATATGAGGTCTAAAATAGTACATGTCAAGGTATGGGTCATATACCAAAAAGGATGTGTATACTAGTCTGCAGAACAAGGTACAGGCACAGGAGAAAGCCTCGATAAGATTCCCAGCGAGTGTTGGGAGAAATAGGAGGGAGTTTTAGGGTAGTGACTTCACTCTAAGAAACACCCACCCTCGAATGCAAATGCCCATAATTGGCAACCTGTCTTCGTTTATATACTAAACAGATTTCAAAGCCTCCACCTAGCTTGGAGTTGGGAAGAGAGGCTAAGAAAACCTCCGTGAAGATGGCATCCAACATCTGGTTCATGCTTCGTTCTCTAGAAGGAGTGCTTGCTAATCCCCTCACTTTCGTTAACAGCTCCTTTGCCGTAGCACAGAAGACGTTGATGTCTACAAGCATGTGATCAATCAAAGAGCATTGGCTTTGGCTCTCATTTTTGGGAGGGTGTATTTTTCCCTCTGAGGTAGAATAAAGGGAGAGGCACAGATAGGGTTTCTAATGTGTTTATCCCTTTCCCAAAGTTTGAGAACCAGGGGTGCTTCAGTTCATCTTAACTAGGTGAGAATTTTATGTAGCGGATCCTGTCATTCTCAAACATTTTCAGGCATGTTCATGGTCTTAATGCTGTGAAAGGGGTGTGTGTGTGTGTGTGTGTGTGTGTGTGTGTGTGTGTTTGCTTGGAGATAAATGGTACAGTTTTTAAAAGGAGCCATCGTTTGGGAGATTTCACATAAAAATCTGAACTTTCAGCCTCGTTTGGAAAATTGGGAGACCTGGCACCTACAGCTTAGCCTTCCCACAAATTCTCAACTTCTTGGAGCTGAACGTTAGTAGCTGACCCAAATGAATGGGGTGGTGGCTACAGTCTCTGTCACTTCCCCCTTTATAAGCTTCCAACCACCTTCAGTCTGTGTGCCCAGGGTCCCTCATCTGTAAATGGAGGAAGTAAACCCTCCCAGTCATACTGGGTTGTTGAATGGATTAATTTGCTCACACGTTAACGTGTAGAGCGTTTGGGGAATCCTTAGTCTTGGGATCAGGCCTAGTCCCATGGCTGTTCCTGTCACCGTGAGTGAGTCTCCATCTCTCTGGGTTTTAGTTTCCTCGTTTATAAAACAAGAAGACTGGATGAGATGTCCTCAGAGGTCTGCTTCTGAAATCAAATGAGATGATAGAAAAGGTTTGAGGGGAAAATTGGAAGAGGGCACACTGTGACAAAAGATGACGAGGAGCTTAACTTTCTACTTGGTAGAACTGGATACTCCTCCAGAATATTTCTTAGGGAAAATTAATGTTCACCATACTGTTCACAGATTTAAACCATAATGCAGTATTTTTATCAAGCTACCAATTAAATATTGTGTCCTCAAACCCCCAGGAAAGAAAATAAGAATTCTGGGCCCTGCTCAGTAACAAAGAAATTAATATTTATTCCATTGACTATTTAAATAGCAAAAGGGAATGTTGAGACCAGGAGGTCTGAGAAAGAGACCTGTTAGAGGACATGCTGCAGAATTTACCCTGAGTTCACAGGTCAGGCACATACGAACTAAAAAATGTGCCAGGTTGAACTTTCAAGGGAGAGGGTAAAATTTTGTCTTTGCTTACAAGTCTCATTTTTCTAAGAGCAGTCCTCTCCATCTTCAAAATACTAAACGTTGTTGGTCTTTGGCTACCTTTGTGTAAAATCAAGGTTGATTTTCCTATCAGTCATACCAAAGGCAGAGCAAATTAGTGAGCCTGACTGATACTTTGGTTAAATTTTTGGATAGACATTCCTTTTTTTTTTTTTTTAGATCACAGCATAGTAAGTTTGAGAGTTCGAAAGGATGTTTGAAATAATTTATTCTAAATTGTACAACTTTGATAACATCCAAAAAAGTGTCTAGAAGATGAAATTTTATGACATATTTATATCCAGTTAGGGTTTGTGTACTGAAAATTGAGTATCTGGAAATAATTTTGGACTATAGTTTATAATATGATCAAACCAATTTATAATGGATGAGACCTAAGGAAGGTAGATTTCAATGAAGTTCAACTTTTATAGCCCCAGAATGAGAGGTGCTAAATGGGTTTTTTTTTTTTTTTTAATGTGATTTGGTCATTTTCTACATTTATTTAAAAAGTGGTCAGACTCTAACCACGCACGGAAGATCAGGGTGGTGTGTTGTCGTAAGAAGTACACTCGAGAGTTGAAAGTTACTCCCGGTGGTAGAGGACATTAGGAACAACGCGAGGCACGCGTTGACCACTTTATCTCTGTTTTGCTACATTTCAGAGACCATCATGCAGACATCAGAGACCGGGTCGGACACAGGTTCGACAGTGACCTTACAGACATCTGTGGCCAGTCAGGCAGCAGTGCCTACCCAGGTGGTGCAGCAGGTACCCGTCCAACAACAGGTAAGGAGCTGCTGTCGTCAGCGAGAATGCTGTGCCTCTCCCTGGGCTGTCTGTCCCTCAGGGGCGTTCTGGCCCCGGGGGCGCAGATAGACGGAGCTCAGCTCACAGGTTAATTCAGCAAATGTTTCTCGAGCCCTTTCTGGATGTGGCAGATTCTGCCCGTGCTGGGCTGTAGGGATGCAAAGAAAAGTGTCCACACCATGATCCCTATTCTGAAAGCGTCTCTTGACTCCTGAAGAACACCTTTGTTTCTGCCTTGACCGTCCATCCTCCTCCATAGGTTCTTCTCTTCTCCCCTCTCTTAACTCTTTACCACCTCTCCCTTTTTCTTTCGTACTGAGATATCAGCAATCATAGTTGCCAAAAATTGGCTCATAAGAAGTAGTGCACAAAAATGAGAATTTGTCTGTACCCTCCAGGCAAGGATTTTGCCTTTGTGATGATTTAGAAAATGCCTGGTACTTTGGTGACTAGAAAAATACTGTTGAATGAAAATCAAATTATCTTAAAGGTCTGGAGATCTGACTCATCCCATTTTAAAAATTGAGAATGAATTCATCGTCACATGTTTACTACAGAGCTTATTCATGCTCAGGACACTTGGCTTGTTTTGGAAAGATACTGACGAAGTAATGCCAGTTCATGGTTCTAGAGTGTGCATTGGGAACACCTTGGTCTGTCATTTCTTCCAAAGAGCGGTGAGAAAATAAAGGGGAAAGATCATACAGAGCATTATCTTGAGACTTGCGATTTGCCTGCAATTTCTTAGTATCAAGGAGAATCTTTAGCAAACATCGCTCTTAAAATTATAGGAAAGCAGCTAGGGAAAGGGATAGTTTTCCCTAAGTGGTAGACAGAGGTATTTAAGATTAAATTCTTTTTAGGAGATAGAAGTGGGGTGGACAGGGAGAGTGCTGGTATCCAGGAAAAGCTTTTGAAAAATTTACCTGTATGTTCCTTTTCGCAACAATCATGTTTTATTTCCTGATTATCTTACCTTTTTGTTTCTTTCTGAAGCTATTAATGTTTTTTGAAGTTGTTGAAATTTTTTTCTTTACTGTACATAGTCTGTTTCCATTCAAGCTACTTTGTTCTTTGTTTTGTTTTTGGGGTTTTTTTGTTTGTTTGTTTTGTCTTAGATTTTTTTTTTTTTTTTTTTTTTGGGTCTCCTTTCATTCTTGAAGTTTTTCTTTGCTGTCTGATACTCTTGGCTCTTTGTCCATATTTAAAGCATGAGGATAAACAGCTGATGTGAATGCATGGGTGGGTCTTATTGACTTCAACGTAGGGTCATCTGACTGGGCTTTTTAACTGGGTTCCCTCTGGTGTTCAGTATCTCAGTTTTCTCTCTTGGGCTGTGATAATTTTAAAGACGACTCCTGCAGCTTCCTGTTCAGAGGGGGAATACTTGTCTGCCTGAGAGCTGAGTAGGGGAAGAAATTGGGTATTTCTTGTCCTAATTCACTTAATCCTTTTTTTCGTATGGTATCAGCTGTGGTTGGTCGTCTTCTGTGCAGAGATTAAACCGAAGAATAAATCCCCAAACCGTCATCGAAGTTCCGGAAGGCACCCATCTCACTGTGTGCAATGGGTGGAGAGACTCTGATTCCTGATTAAATAACGTCACTTTTTGTATTAAATACATAACCTTTTATAAAAAACAAAAATTGCTACTAGAAGCAGAAAATCAGTATCACCAGCATAAATAGAAAAATCATACATATGCACACTCACCTTGTTCCTTGTCCTCATAAAAAGTAATCTAATGTGCACGTGGACCCCACTTTGGGAAACCCTGCGATCTGCCCCGTGGCTCGTTCCCAACGGGTGTATTTTTCAGCTCCTCAAGTTAACTCTTTTCTCTAGGTCATTCAAGGCAAGTGATGCTTTACATCCCCTCACACCAAGCAAAGGTGAGAACTCTTGTTTTCCTTTCTTCCCTTTTTCAAACTAGAAAAGTGTCACATTTGATACTTTCTAGTGCTTTTTTTTTTTTTTTTTTTTTTTGAGAGAGAGAGTGCACACACCTGAGAGTGCAGGGGAGGGAAGGGCAGGGGCAAGAGAGAAAGAGACAGAATCTTAAGCAGGCTCCATGCCCAGTGTCCTGGAGCCAGCCCATCAAGGTGGGGCTCCATCTCAGGACCCTGAGATCATGACCTGAGCTGAGACCAAGGGTGAGACACTTAACTGAGCCCCCCAGGTGCCTCTCTCTAGTGCATTCTCACAGGGTCTCTGTAGATATATTTTCTACAACTGATAAGATTATTGCTGAAGTAATTTCTTACTGCTCTTCATTTCCCTATAATCTCTGTATTGTTAATGTGCTGATGTCATCTTGAGTTTTCAAACCGTAGTGGGATCTTCTAGCCTTTGTCACTGACCCAGGATGAATATCGAAATCATAGCATTGATGTCAAAGGTACTTCCTTCTTTTGGTTCAACTTCTATTGTGTCCTTGCTTTGGCCACTCTGATGTGAAGAGATCTATAGCTAAAAATTTTTAAGTCGAGGCATGTGATATTATATTGATTAGAAAGTTGAAATACGAGAACATTTTAAGATCTAATATGTAGTTTTGTTTAAGATCTAATATGTAGTTTTGTTTCCACAAAGCACGAAGGTTCTAATCTCGCTGAGTAATCAGTACCAAATAAAATGTTGATTCTAAAATGATTTCTGTGTTTTTTCATTTATTTTGTGTGAGCTCAAGAATCAACCTTCCACTTTTCCTTAGACAGTCTGGTTCAGGATTAGAGAATTCTGAGCAGTGATTACAGGGTCTTGTTGTATTAGATTTCTTACCTTCTATAATTTTTCATCATTTCCCCGAACACCATAGAGTCTGAGCTTCCAAATATAGACATGGTTGCTCAATTCAATAAAATCTATAAAATTATTCAAATTCAGTGTTGATTAGATATTAGAATTGTGATATTACTCATCATCATCTTTAGAAGAGACTTTTTAGACGGATGGTCTCTATAGACTATGGCTGGAAACCAGCTCTTCCCCCTTGCCTTCCCTCTGCCTTGAGTCATTTGTTAGAGTTTCTTGTAGATTACTCTTCAAGTTGGTCATTTGATGCCTAAATCCGAGAGGTCTTTGACCCCACTTGCCCTAAAACTGAGTTAAAAATCCAGGAGAGGGAAGGAGGAGAATGTCTTCCACTATTCCCTTCTCTCCCACAGCCGTCCAGTCTAGATTGTTTTCAAAGCAGAACCTAAAGTCAGAACTTTTACTCCTTGTTGTAATCTTGGGCTTCGGATAGTCCATGATTCCTAAACCACTTAGAACCAGGGCTCTAAGACTTTCTTCTCCCTTTCATGTTCCCCAGTTTTAACTGCCTCTCCGAGTACAGTTCGTACTTTCTCTACAGTCCCTGCCCGTCTTCCCCCTTCCTTAGAAAAAGGCACACATCTTTTCTGTCAACGTTGGCAACTGTGTTATCCCTATACCACGTCTTGTAAACATGACATCCCAGATACAGCGGAGCCCTGGGGTTGAGGGGCTTCTGTTTGAATTCAAAGAAAAAGATCTTTTGTCAAGTTACTGTCAACTTGTTTGAGTTCTTTTATTACCAGACACTGTGGTCTTTACCTTTTCCTGTGCAGGGACTCTCTTTCTAGCAGGTCTTTAGTATGTAAGTGGGACATTGAAACCTCTTTTTTTTTATGTGATTAAAAATTCATTTCAAAATTATAGGCAGGTAAGAATCTTAATTTTTCTGTAAGTCATCTATCTGGGCAGTGACTGTTATATATAATATGAGATACAGAAATGAATAGAATAGCTATATTCTAGCTATATTGTTTCTTTTTGGTGAGTATCAATCTATCACACATTTAACATTTTCATATAAGTTATGGTACATCCTGGCACATGAGCAGATTATCCCTGTGGTCCAAGGGACAAATGACATTTTGTTTGGGAAACGGAGTCAATCGAAGTTGCCAATTAGGTTCTAGGCAAAGGGCAGTCTTCAAGAAGATTACCCTTCAAGAAGGATAAATGTTAAATGAATCCCAGTGGATCTATTTTTTATGGGTGTCTTTCGGAAACAGATTTTAGGAAAGGAACTTAAACATGGGTACTCCTGAAATCCTCATGTGATACCACGGTTGTGACGAGGGGTCATTTTTATGCTTACTTCTATTTGCCATATTCCCGTGATACCTGTCATGTATCGCCACAACCAGAAAGAAACTGTGATGATTAGCAGTATACCCATGAGAAAGTTCTTGTGGTGGAAGCAGTGAATAGTGATTAAGGGGGAAAAAAGATTGCCTATAGTATGTTAAATCCATAAGAGAATGTAATATTGGCTTGAAATTTGATCTGTAATGTTTTATTTTATTTTATTTTTTTTTTTTTAAATATTTTATTTATTTATTTGACAGAGATCACAAATAGGCAGGGAGGCAGGCAGAGAGAGAGGAGGAAGCAGACTCCCCACAGAGCAGGGAGCCCGATGCGGGGCTCGATCCCAGGACCTTGGGATCATGACCTGAGCCGAAGGCAGAGGCTTTAACCCACTGAGCCACCCAGGTGCCCCGATCTGTAATATTTTAAATGGGTCCCTTTGCTAGTTTGGAGAGCTAAGCCTGAAGTAGTCTACGCCATTGGTTGTGTCTTTATCTGTCTTTTCTGTTCAGGGTCAAGAGATTTGCTTTCTGTGCACCCTAGCTTTGATGGACATGAATAGAATTCTTTTCATTTGAGACCATTATCTTATATAATCAACAGAAACAAAGACATTTTTCTGTGGTTCGCTCTTATTTGGGACTTGATTCCCATTGGCTTGCTTCCCAAAGGGGACACTATTCTCCTAATTAAGATGTGGCAGACATCCTAAAAGATGGGGTTACCCTTTAAGATGAATTCCTGTTGAATGTCTTTTTTGTAGAAAAACAAAAGATAATGATTTTAGCTCTTGTAGAGCATATTTATTTTATTTTTTTAGAGCCAGAATTGCTAATTTTTTATATCTGATATGAAAAGGT